TAGTTAATATCTTACAAATAAAACAATATTTAATTATACTCTATTTCTCTGCTTTTGTACAGTTTCTAGTATCTGTCCAATTAATTACAATTGTGTTCCCTTTATCACACATCTTACATGCTGTTATTTAAATTCTATAGATAAATAAGGAGATAATAGTACCTAAAACCTATACAAAAAAAGAAAAAGAAAGGAAAGAAAAGAAAAATAATGTTTTTTAGGAACACTATTTTTGAAAGTTTAATAAACGAGGGTGTGTTTTGTGAAGCTTTTTACATCTTTTAAATCACAGATCAGCAGTGTACTGTACCTCCATGGCAAGAGCGGCAGTCTGCTGGTCATAGTGGTTCATTATGTTAGGCATGAAGGTGGAGTTGTACGGCAGCCCTTGGCACATGCGCAGGGTGATGGGTTCGCAGGTGAAGAGGCTGTGGCTTCCCGCCGCCGCGTCCATGGGGATGGCTACACATGCCGTTAGCATGGACACACAAAACACCCATAGAAGATCCATTACTGGTCCGTTCAGAAGAAAGGCAGGATCCCGGGAGATGGCTGATTAGGATGAGGGGTCGAGCCCTGTTAGCATGAGGCTCATTCACCAGTACAGGGAAGTCCCAAGGCTCCTGGACTTGCTGCTCAGATCACAGAGAAACAGTCCCATTTGGGGACTATAATCCCTCATAGCCATGGCTGGATGGATCCATCACAGCGGAGATTCCGGTCAGCATCTACACCTCCATCACCGGAGAGATGCTGTGGCTGGGAAGCCCAGTCCGTCCTTTCTTTTTGTCACCAGAAAACAATGTTGCCTATGAAAAATATCCACAACAGCTGGACAATGGAAATCTGTGATAAAACAAAAAAAGATGTTCAATTAAAAAAATAACAGGATAGAATAGAAAGCATTAGAAATGTACTCAATATATACAAAAATGTAAAATATGAGCAAAAAAAACGTATAAAAGTACTAAATCATTATAAAGTCAACAACTGTAGTGGTTGGGTGAGGTACATTAATTAACTATCAGCAATAAAAAAAATTAAAACAAATGTATTAATGTGAATATTTTAAACATACAAACGATAGCCATTTTTTTTACATTTACCTTGGTATTCAGAGCGTTAATCTCGTTTAAATGAAACTTCTGACTTTAATTTGTGTTGACAGATTAGCTAAACTTGTTTTAATAGGTTTTATATTTTAAGCTCAACACAAACAGTTCTTGATAATACTATTCAACGCCCGTTTTTCTTTATTTCGACATTATCCGTCACGAACAATGTTGCGTTTACACGTCAGTACACACCCATACCGGCCCAATTCCTCCCCTCCCAGTCATAGAAAATGTATAATATGAAATGCCAATATATTCTTGCGCACATTTTTTCAAAAGCACGATTTTCAAACACATCGAAGTGCATTAAAAGTTTCAGTTTTCTTAATTCGGCATTAGTGCGACCGTTAGCCTACCTGTGCGTCGGATAAATCAGCCCCCTATGTTCCTCGCTGGGAATTCGTAGATTAATTGCTCCCCATTAACGTGCGAATAGCTAACTGATGTACCCGGGAAGCCTCTTACTGCTCTGTGTTAGTTTCAACCCCACCATAAGTGATACACCCCGCAAACAAGTCATTTAACAGCGAGAAGTGTCAAGCAACGCGGCGAAGACAAAAGATGAGGGTATGTTCATCCTGACTGATGGTAACCGTGGCATACGCAGCCTGCTCCGTAAACCGGTGTTATCATTCACAACGAGCCGGACGGTAACGAAGGTGGTCGCACTAGTACTGAATCACTCCGCCCATTAATGTATTTTAAAAAAAAACGGATAAATCATTTGTAACTTTACCTTAATGCTCTTCCGGAAATTCACGTGCAGCAACGAGGTCCTCGTTCCTCGAGTTGGTAACAATGAGTGAATGTCCTCCACCCGCACCCTCCTCACCTCTTCTCCTCCTGTCCTCTTCTTCTGTTCTCCTCCAGTGCCCCTCTCCGTCTCCCACCACTCGCCCCACTGGGCGTCAAGCTCGCGAGATATTAAAAATGTATTCCAGCGTGAACCTTTAAAATAAAAGCCTGGTCAAGAAAAACAGCAAACCTTGAGGTATTCCTGTCCAATGTAAAATAAATAAAAACTCCGTAACATAGTTACGAAAGGACGATTCAGCTTTGCCTTTCTATTTCTCTCCTTACTCATGGACAATGTCCCTTTTTAAGAACGAGGCAACAAAATGTGTTCACTAATTAAAATGATCCGGAAGTAGTTATGTGACGTATTTTGTTATCTTATTAAACGCATAGTTAATTTCTCACATTCATCTTTTGGTAAACGAACTCGAAATATAAGCCATTTCGTATTTTATGCTGTACAAACGATTTTTTTAATTTCAAATTTTAACTCTGAAAGCTTCACTGGCACATTTCCGGTTTGTTACGCTCTGCTTATATGTAACTTGATGCAGGTCAGGTCTCTTCCCCTCTCTTTTTTTTCACAGCAGGTTTTCTGTCTTCGTTGTGCGCTACTGGCCGTCCGAGGACGGGCAGGCTTTCTGTGTGTGTCTGGCTTCAAAAGTAGTCTCTCTTTGGGTGGCTGCACACATAGAAGCGTTTGCATCAGGGAAACTTCTCTTTCAATGAATCTGATTCATAGATTCATGGTCATTCAGCAAAACCTCACCTCACTTATGCGGGACCAACTTTGGATGCTCCTTAATATCAATAATAGGGTTAACAGTTCTTACTGTTATGGTATATCTATAACATTGATATTTAAAAAGTGCAAAGTTTTTTCTATATTTTTTTTTACTTTATACTGTGAATTCTTGTTTTGCAGCATCAGAGGCAGATGGTTTTGTCATAATCCCGTTTGTGGGTCTTCTTCGCCACATTTGTCACCATTAGAGCCAGTGGCATGGCACGAACTGTAGGTTTCCCAATACTCCCCCTTGTGTTTGACAGGCTGCAAGAGGCCGCGTCGATCACCGTTCCTATGGAAACAAGTCAACTGAGCAGAGGGAAGTGGCTGGAACAACAACACTCGGACACAAAAAGCCGAACGGATCATGCACATGTGCTCAATTGGATTTTTCTTATCTACTAGAAGATAATTTAAAAACTGATGGTGAGTCCAACTGCAGTGCCCTTCATATCTGATCTAGCCTTTGCAGTGATGATGAGTATTTCATGATTTGGGACACATTATCATCATACATTGTGATTTAAAGCGTTTTAAAAGATTGACATTTAAAGCATTTTAAGATCTTAAAAGATCAAGGAGTCGCTGAAAGGTGCCAAAGCTCTGCTGTAAACTGCTGTACCAAAAAAAGTTCCAAAGGTATGAATAAACCCTCAGATTTTTTTTCTTTTTTTGCTCTGTTACCTCAAGATGCCGCTTGCTCCGAGGCCCTCTGCAAGCAGTGCCAAGATGCAAACAAAACGGAGCGCTTGGACCCCGTTGAACCATCAAGTGGCCAACAGCAAGGTTCTGAAACTCTCAGCCAAACACTAGTAATCACGAGTCCAAATCAGAGACACTTAGATTCAACTGAGAAAGGATTTCAGTTATTCCGGTGCACGTAACTCAACGGGGACAAAAGCCAAAGCTTGGCACTCGTGATCTCGATTGATGGAGATCTTCTGACCTCTCTGGGGTCAGAGATATCTGGATTGAACAATAACACATCCATTTATGTCCAACTTGACCAAAAAATAGATAAACAGACACCCATGCAACCTTAGAGCCATGAATAAATACCAGACTATGGGACCCTACACATGGGACAGAAAAAATAATACAACTTTTAACACAGAGTCTGTCCCACAATGAAGAGATAGACTACCAGTGACAGATGTCGACTATTCTCTTTTGGGTAGTGAACTGCCTTATCTCCTGAATCCTAATGTTTAGGCAAAGATCTCTATGAATGAAAGTAAGTTTTTCCACTTTTTCACTTTCCACTTTTATCATTTTTTCAGGTGTTTGAGGAGAGACGCAGTCTTCTAACAAAGTGGGTAAGTTAAAGCAGGCGATGGGAGATCTTTCATGTAAAGAGAGCGCATTGTGGGGCAAATATCCGCTAAGCGACCCAATATTTTGCCACCCGAAAGCCTACTCAGTAAGTTTTGTCGTATTCTCTCGTGTGCTCATCAGTTTGACGGGTGGTCGGACGGTCAGAGGAAGGTGGTGCTGCGGGATTTGGTGCTGAACTGCTCCGTGGAGCAGCTCAGGTTCCTGGGCCTCTGCGTGAGCGGACGTCTCCCCCTGCAGGCGGCCGACTTCACCTGCCTGCTGCCCAGAGCCCTCTGCCTTTTCCTCTTCTCCTTCCTGGACCCGCGCAGCCTCTGCCGGTGCGCTCAGGTACGCCTGGATGGCAGCTAAACGGCCAGGGCCATGGGGTACTGGCTCATGGAGAGCGGTTTCCCGTTGTTAAAAAGCGTCTTCCTTTCCCCCGAAGGTGAGCTGGCGATGGAAGAACATCGTTGATCTGGACCAGCTTTGGATGCCCAAGTGTCTCAGGCTCGGTTGGTGCATCAGCTTCTGCCCCACACCGTTTGAGCAGGGTCTCTGGAAGAGGCACTACATCCAGACCGTAAAGGAGCTCCGACTCAGGCGGGTGAGGAGATTTGAGTCAACACAATTCAAACAATGGCCCAGGACAAAACACCAGACAGGCTGAAAACTCCTATCTCCAGATCCCCTTCTTCCAGCTGCAGGTGACGGCTCCAGATGTTGCACCAATCGGCAGTGCACACAAAAAGCCACAGGAGTTGCTTTTCGACAGCGAGGAGAGTCCCACGTGTACATCCCAGCAAGGCTTTCGGTTGGAAGGGAAAAAGGAGAAGCATTCAGTCACACAGCCACCATGGAGAGACCCTGACAGACATCCTAAAGATACAGTACGCTTCAACTACCTGGACAACCTGGACCCAGTCGAACAGGCGCTGAGATCGTAAGACTTCTGACCTCTCTTTTTCCAATTTTCCAACATTTCCAAAAATCTAACATATGTGTCACATATGTAACATATCAACAACCAGATAGTTTGAATAATTTTAATAATAATTTAGTTTAAAATGCTAAATTAATAGAACAAATAAAAAATATTCCTCCATATAGGGTTGTTTTTTTCTCATAAAACCAAAAAAAGGGAAAACAAAAACCTTTAATAGTGGAAGCTGTTCTGAAACATAATTAACTTGACAAAAAAAAATCAATTTTTTTCAGTATCTGTCACTGCCACACATTGAGACCATTTTGGAAGATGGCTACCTTATTTTGTAGCACGTTACAACTGTGAGATGTTAAACAGCTGAGACAACTCGACAACAATTCATGTCCAATTCAATCCAATGCAACTTTATTTATTTTAAAGCCCTTTATACCAAAAAGGAACAACGTGCTGTTCAGAATACATACAATTGTTCAAATGACTAATGCCCTTTCATACAACAATCATCATTCAAAATCCAAAAATTCAAAAAACATTCAAATCTAAAATACATGTATAACCGACCACAGGGTAAAAATAAAATAAAATAAGCACAAACTAAAATCAACATCTCACATGGTGTTAATATATATCGTATATGTCTCTCAGAATTCCAGTATCTATGCCTCTTATCACAGTAATTCACAAATCTGAACTAAGTCCATGCCAGGACACGGATGTGACTCCATACCATCAGAATTGTTTGTAGATGTTGAATCGGATGCTGTTTAATTATCGTTTGCCTCGCATAAAAATGATGGAACATGATTTTCAGGCTGATTTCCCCACACACATTGAAGTGGTAATTGTAGTGGAAAACCACTTAAACCAAATCGAGTTATGTGAGGTCAAGTATAGCCAAAAGTCAATCAGAGAAAGATCCTTATTTGCCCAACTGTGGCACCCTTACCAGAAATTAATTCCCTATGTCTGTCTTTCCACTACATAGCTACATTTGTTTTACATGTGTTATTGGAATTAAATGAACACTTTTATCTATTTTGAAGATTTCTACAGTTCACTGATTGAGTTTTCATCCATTATTGCCAAATATTAGTATGAAAGGGAAAGAAACTCTGTTCTATCATGCTAGAATGTGGCATACTTTTGGAGTCAATAGCTATCTGATCCTAACAATTGTACTAGTTAGTGTAAATATGAAATAAACATTTTACAAACAAAAGCATTTACTCATGTTGACAAATAGCTAATTTCTGGCGTCACACTGGCCCTCCGCAGTTTGAAATCCCAGATTAATAAACTGTAACTGACAAAGTATTTTTCCAGGCCGTGTGCATTAACAACGCTGTCAGCTCAGTCCTCTCACAGCCATTTCTCTCCAGGCGAACGAGAAGCAGGGCCTCCGTCTGCAACAGCAGCCCGTCCAAGATGGAGGACGGGGAGAGGAAAACGCCATCCGAGACCACTTACAAGCTGCGCAAAGCGAAGTCGCTGGTAAACTCCTCCTCATCCATCGCCGCGGCGACCCCACCGCGACTCGGCCCTTCCCTCGTTTGTATTCAGGCGCTGTGATAAATGGGGAGCTTTCCCCGGAGACTGTGCAACCAGCAGGCATCATGCATTATGGAGCAGAGTTTTACACACAAACGCATGTTACTGATGAGTTGGTGATGGGGGAGGGAGGCAAATTATGCCGACCATGGCGACTGAAGGAAAGGTGAAGTAGAGGACGCCACTGCCTTTAGGATTCAGTAAAAAAAAAATAAAAAAATTCAGCTTTATTTGTTAAAGTGTCCCAACTGCTCTCCCAGTATTTGTTTCTCCTGTTCCAGATGTTCCTTAGCTCCAGCTGTGGACCACAGCCCTCCCCCCCTCCTCCTCCTCCTCATGACCATCATCCGGATCAACAGACCCAAACACCCCCCCCCATGGGCACCTCACACTCCAGACTACCCCATCACCAAGGAGACCGCCAAGAGCCTGTTGAGCCTGGCCCAATGGAATGCGGGGATCCATCCGAGGCCAGTGAGGACGCCGGAGCTGGACACGGCTGACCGCCGAGGCGCTCAGAGTGTCCCGCCGCTCACACGGGAGCGCCGCCAGTGAGTGATCGCACTTCTCATGCTCCTCCGGGCGGAATCTGACGAAACCGGAGCAAGGAATGCATCGAGGGGGAATTCTGACCTAGAAATGGGGGATTCTGCTAGAAATGGCAAACTGCGACCCGATTTAAAACACTGCAATCTGTTTTTTTGTGGCTCAGAGAGTCCTGAGTGAAGGTGGAAATTTATGTAGAAACATCCAAATAAATAAATTGCAGTCACTCAAGAGAGCCCAGATAATAAACCATTGTACTTATAACAGCATTGAACAAGACATGCACTGGTTTAGAATTTACCAAACAAATGTGAGCGTTTATATAAAAGTAGTAGTTTTATGGTGGACTTTGTGCGTCACTGTTACTTTATCCTGGCATTCAAATATTTTCTTTGTCTCTCTCTCTCACTGGTGTGGTACTAACTTGTAATGGGAAAACAGTCAGAGCTGGATCAGTTGAATTTATGCAAAGCTGAAATCATACTAGTGGAAGAGGGAAATTAGACTGTTGCCAAAGCCACAAACTTTTTTTTCATACGATGACCTTTTTTGTAGTCATTTCAACTTTCAATTTTTGGCACCGATTGCAGGTAAACCGCTGTTCGGGGTTCAGAGATGAGATATGCCCCCACCTGGAGGAAGTGAGAAAATACAGCACACAGCTGGAGAACATCAGGAAGAGTTTAATCTAATACCACCATGTCTTTTATTTTTGTTTTTCTTGACATGTTTAATAATGCATAATATTTATTAGAGGTCAGAAAGTTATTACATAGAAAATAAATACACTTTGCCCAATCTGTTTTTCATTATTATGAAATTATAGATGGAAGGATAGATCAATAGATACTTTACAGATCATAAAGGAATTTATGTAAAGAAGAAGAACACGGGGGAAAAAACTGATAAAAGCAACCTTTTGTAAGAAATGTACCACCTTTATTATCCAATCCACACATTTCATTCAGTATGCAGGAAACAGAGCCAAAGCATTTATATAAACACTGAGTCTGAACTTAAAAAAACATTAAACGATGGTTGTCAGTTGAGAAAAAAAAAAAAGTATTCAGAACAATGTTGTGAATTCAACACACAGAACACACAGTGTCACTGGGAGAAGAGGGATGCCTTGTGTGAAACAGACCTGAGAGAGGAAGGGATTTCTTCATTCTAAACCCCACTTCAGTCAGATACAAGGCATAACACACTCGCTTTTCGACTCAATACGTACAGTTTCACACACTGCATGGCTTAGACTGCATGCAAAGTTTTGTGTGCACACGCATACTGATTTTGGAGACATTTCTGAATAGAAGAGAATCAAACAAACAAAAAATAAACATGTTAATGTGATGTTACTTAACTGAAGACATAAGAGAGTGTGCTGCATTTGACAGAATGTATGGCTTATGCATGCTTTAAGACCAGATATTTATAAGCTTACGCGAGGCTATGCTATTCAAACACCTCCAGATTGTAAGACCACAGTTATTGTTTATATTGAATCTGAGGGGTGTGATGTCTTACAGTCAAGTGCCATAAACAAAACTGTGTCATTTATTTTTTTTTAAAGGAGGTTTACCGAAAATAAAAGGCCTCAGTGACTTCTCTGTGTACATTTGCTACATCCTTTACATGACAAGCATTCTCACTCGTTGGTCTGCAGATTTTACAGTAAAACCGACTGGTCAAGAGTCTCAGATTGTCCAAACTAGTCTTGGATCAAACGTCAAATAACCGAGAAAGAAGAAAAAATGGAAGAAGAAAAAAAATAGGAAAAATAAGCTTCTTCCTTCCAGTGACTTAATGAAAATTCTTCTCATGGCAAATAAAAACAAACAAATCATTTTTAAAAAATCCTTTCCTAAAAAAAAAATTCATGAAAACAACATTTTGGTCTAAAACAATTCACACAGATCTTTAAAAAAAAACAAAAAAAACAAAAGAAGCTAAATAAAAATATCAGGTGGTTAGATTGGCTTTGATATTACCTCCTGTCCAATCACGGCTTTCAGTGGCAGCATACAGACACGTCTTATTGTTCACAGTGGGTTTGATTGAATAGGTTGGAGTTTGAATGGAACAATCACAAAGAGCCGAGTAGTAAAAACAAGAAACAACCAAAAATCATAATTTTTGTGTGACGTCACTATGATGACGTCACACGCACCATTTAATGGCTTTTCTGCTTTCAGCCCTCCACCGAAAAGAGCCTCGCTTGCTTTAATGCCTTTCTTAAAACTCTTAGTTATTTAAAAAAAAGAGCCTACACCAGGATTTTAAATGCCATTCCTCCAAAAACAAACATCTTTTTTTTGTTTCGTAACCAGAAGCCGCACTTTAAACCAATTTAATCCCCCCCCTCCACTCGATTAAAAGAGCAGTTTTCTGTATAAGGCTGAAAGGTGTCCATGGTTTGTGCTTCAGTGGCTAACAGCAGAAACGAGTCACGTGACACTTTGATGGGTTGCTTTTTTTTCTTTTTTGCAAAAGTACAGGGCATGTATTCTGCAGGTCTGAATAAGTTGGAGGGAATGACTATCAAAATACACACAAGTATTAACATCGAGGCTTTTTAAATAATGTAAACATATACATCTTATTGGAGGTCAGCTCAATGACCCTCTTCATATCTATTTATATATTTATATATAAAAAACAAAAAAAAGAGCACATATTACTGGAGCATAGTCCGGATGTTCTTTGGAGTGGACTCGTCGTTCAGGTGTTTTGTGGTGAATCTGAAGAGACAAATTAAAGCAGACTTTAAATGGGACGTTTTTGGAACAATAAAGACAACAAATACACAAAAAAAGTACACTGTTGATGAGTGGATGAGTCAAAAGGGTCATCACTTAGCTTTTAAGAAAGGTAAAGAAAAAATAATCATTACTGCAAATGATTCCAAAAAACAGAGACTGAACCTACTTGAGTGCGTTCAAGAGGCCCTCGACATTGTCTGCAGGCTGGTCCTTCAGGACCTTGATGCAGCCTTTCATCTGAGGAAGGAAAAAAGGATGATTTGAAATGAGAACACACAGAGTCGGGAGCCTCGTGATGCTTCCTTCACAGAATTGGTTCCACAGGTATTCTGCTTACGTCTATCTTGGAGGATTTGTTGAAGGCACCGTTGGGGTGGACGTGGTCGTAAAGAATAATGACTCCCACCATCACCCTCATGCAAAACAAGACTGTGTCCTCACTGCTGAAGCGACTTGAGTATTCCCTGAAAACACGAAAGGGAGCGATGTAAAGATCTAACAGATCTCGAGTTTCCCTACTCAAAGCCTTTTTCTTAAAAATTCAAAAACTTGCTTAATTTTTCACAAAGTCACTGCCAGTATATATGTAAAAATAATTTAAGACTTTTTCTATAGCATTAGGGCAAAAATTCAGGCATAGGAACTGGTTTGATGGTCTTATTTCTATTAAATAAGAATTTACATTTCCCTAAACAAAACAAAAATTCAGGTTTATAAGTTAAAAGTGTGTAAATGCCAAACTCACGGTGTCTCCAACATGACCTTACACACACTGGCCATGGTGCTGAGGCAATCTGTCGTGTTCTCCAGTGGAAGCGTCTTGTTCTACAAAAGGTCAAAGATCAGACAGATCCACTATGGTTTGTTCCAGTAGGACAAAACATCACAAGTTTCTTGAAGCTAAGATACATTTTCTGGGATTGTGAAAGCTTCAAAATTCATAACAATTTCAGATTTTAAGTCATGTGACTGACTATTCTCTCTTCTTTGATCTCTTCGGACTCGCATGGAGGACACTTGGCTCCTGAGCCATTAGTAAATATTCGCCTAATAAGTGCTGACTTTGTCCATGTACCCATCTCGAAGTTAATTAGAAGTGGTAGTAACTCTGATCATTAATCTAACAGCACTAATACATAGTATAGGTAAAAAATAACAAGCAGGAAGTGTCTAAAAAGCTCCTGGAAATAAGCAGAACAGAGGACTATAGATCACGCTTTGAGCTTCCATCATTATGATGGCTACTTTTCACATCCAAGAAAACTTTACTACTTGACTTCATTTACTACTATCAAAACAGAAGAACACAAAAAATATTTCCTTTTCCACCTTCTGCTACAGTTAAGTGTTCAAAATGCTTATCATAAGGTGGGGGACTTCTAATACCTGACCTATGGCCTCTCAGTCAGCCTTAATAATTAATAAGGTGGTGGGTTTAGCTGCTGAGCCATATTCACAACATTGGAACGACAATTTGCTGAATTTAGTTAACAAATGTGGCTTTTAAAGGAACAGCTGCTATAAAGGAATACAAATTTCACAGCAGTTATTTGTGCACATATCAACTAAAGTTCCATGATGGTGAAGGTACTCACTAAAATATTTAGTTTAGAGATTAATAAGTGAGAAATAAGATTGTTCTTTTCATTTACTCAAAGCAACTCTTTTTGGAACTGGAGCCGTTTGCCCTCTGCTGGTTGATGGAAATACTACAGATCTGAGACACCTGAAGTGTATGACCAGACAGGCTGATACATATTTCTCCCTAAAAAACTGAAGTAACAGTCAACCTCTATTGGCCGTCTCACCTCCGCCACAAAGTTTGTGGTTGCAGTGCTGAGTGTTTTCAACATGGGTGTGGCCTCAGCGTAGAACAGAGACATCCTGTTGGCCATCTCATTGTTCACCTCGCTCTCAATGTCCAGCTGGTCAAGACAGAAATGCCACAACGTGACTGGAGGCACCAAAGTTGTTGGTTATTTTGTTATTTTTTGTCTTCTGTTAACTAAAACTGTCAAACAGAGCAGCTTTAATTCCAATACAGTGAAAACAATTATGACCAGTTTGGTCACTATCTGGAAATTTGGGGGAAATTAACACAAAAACAAAAAAAAAACAACCAAACATATGTCCATAATACCTCATTTCTGAAACTTACATTCATGTTGTTTATACGGTTTCGACTAATGGTCCTTCTGTAATAGCTGAAGTCGTTTTGGATGGCGGGAATCCTCATCTGAAGCCAGACAAGAGCACATGATCAGTTAAAAGAAGGACACAGCTGATATTACTTTACGCTGAGATGGGCTGTTTGTGTGTGTTTAAATCAGTACAAGTGGAGTTCACAGCGGACCTTGAGTTCATCAAAACGCAGGGTGAAGTGGAGGATTTCAGCAAACTGTTTGGCCAGTGCCTGCTCCCTCTCCAGGTGCTGGGTGGGTGTGAGTGGTGGGCACGTCAGAGACTCCAACAGACTCTGCAAAGCCTCCTCTACAAACAAACAACACAGTTGGCATGTAAACAACTAAAGCTAGAATTAAATCTCAACAAGGCCCTTTAATTTGACCTCTTGCCTTGAGCCAGTAAAGAAACGTGTGATTTCTCTACCAAAATGTGTCCAACCAGTGATGGGACACCTTAAATAGTGAATATTGGGCTCCAGGAGACTCCATTAAGTCTCCATTAAGAAATGCAAATATGTACAAAGTTTGGATTTAGACAGACAAGGAGTCCTAAACCTACCAATTGTTAAACTGATACGATTAGAAATCGTATTTGCTAAAAATTTTTTGCTAAATGATTTGCATTTATTAAAAGTTTTGTTTCACCACTTGTTTTACAGATATAAATGGTTGGTCAGCCAAGAAAAACAATACTTTCTTTTTTTTTTTTTTTTTTTTTTTTACACATCTTCGAATAAGATATCACTGTAGAGGAAAAGTTATGTTACAACCTTTATGAATGCATATAAAAAGGTAAACAAATGCTACACTCATTTTTAGTTTGTACACTTCCCTGCAAGATAGGAAAATGCATCTTGCTTGTAAATCAAATCTAAGTGGGAAAAAAAGGGAAAGACTAAATGACTAAATGATTGACTGAATATATAAAAGACATGCTGTTACAACTCAAGCCCAGAAAAATGAAGTGAGATTCCTCTTAACTTCTAAAACAAAAACACAAACTGGTGTTTCTGAACAGGAACTCTGCTAAAGAAAGAAAGAAAGAAAGAAAGAAAGAAAGAAAGAAAGAAAGAAAGAAAACAAAAATTAGACCTGTTCTACGTCTTTGGACTGAAACTGTCCCTCTACAGTCCTGGATAGAAGGGGAAACTGAAATAAATCCATATTGGACTTTCGAAATCTTTCGATTTCGGCTAAATTGACCTGCGTAATCTACAATCTGGACTTTAAAAAGGAAAATTTATGTTACATTTATATAGCAGATGTAGGCTGCGACATAAATGAATTCAGATCAGAGGAGATCAGATAAGACTTCCCTCTTTCTTACTGTTTATTACGTGTAATATTATGATTATCTTTCTCAATTTTTATACCTAATCACAAATAGGCTAAACTTTTGACTTGATGCGTAATACCAACATGTTTGTGATGCTTTGCATGACTGCTATGTTCATCCCTGTATTAATCTTCATCAGTAAAGTGAGAAAAAACGCTGAAAATGTATCCAATCCAGTGGTAACCAGTGCAGTGGTAAGCTTCTTGCTGGGCAGGGTGAACACACCTAGTTTGAGAGAGAAACTGTAGAACTTCTTGAGCTTGATGACCAGGGGGCAGACGGCGTCCCAGGCCCGCTCCTGCTGTGTCATGTTGCTCGGGTTTTGAATAGCCTTGACGAACGAGAACAAGCATGAAAAACAGAAGAATGTGTTGGAGACCTTCCGCCAACTCAGAATTTCTTCCAGTGTATCATAAAATGTGCAGAAAAACTCAAGGACATCAGCTACATCTTAGGGGGATTTAAAGGGGACTCGTATACAGTCCATTCCTCCCTTTTCCTCCTACGTGCTGAATATGAATTGAAGTGTTTGTTGGTGTGTTTTTCTCACATCTCTGATCTCCTGCCCCGCCCCTTTGTACGACTGCAAACCAGTCAGGATACTCTCTGACTCCTGGAGGACAGAGTTCACCTGGTTCCACACCTCGCGCTCTCCATCTGTCGGCTGTGCATCTGACACACAAACAAAGATCCATCAACATGCACCGTAAAATATGAGCTCATATATGAGCACGAGCAGACACTGATGTAGCAATCAAAGTGAAATGCACTGCCAGTCTTAAAAGAAAGTCACAGTCTAATATTTCATTGGGCCGCCTTTAGCTCTGATCACGGCATGCTTTTGATGTGGAATCTTTCTAAAAGCGTCAGCAGTGTCACAACATTTACTAAGCCTAACATTTATGAGGATTTAGTCTGGTGACCCAAGTCTTCTTCAGCCCATCATCCTGCCCTGCTGTGCCCACCACACTGGAACAGGATAAAGCTGGACCACATGACCTTCCTGCATTGCTCCAAAATCCTGGAGTTAATTTTTTCCCAGATTAGCCTCCACTGATAAGTGTTTTTTTAGGACTATGCAGCTGTTTAGTGCCAATCTTTAGACTTCTCTTCTTGAGTGGAAAGTCTCTTACTTTCAATATTAAACACAGCCATGAGTTCTATTGTTGTCTTTATATGATCTGATTTGACCAAACCTTTCTTTCTCAGAGACGATGGCTCCCCTCGATCTTTCTAGTTTAACAAACATTTTTTCCTCAGTACCTAGAGATGATGTTTGTTGTGATCAATAAATAAAGCCGACTTAAATACAATCCCATTGTTGCCAGCTGGTCATACTCCCCTTCTGAAGTGGATTAACATTGTTTTCATGACCACAGGACATTTCTTCCACTGTGGTAGAGTTAAGACAGAATCATTCTTGCAGTATTCAACAATGGGAGACTCCATTTGCCTAGTTAAATCCAGGTGGTGACTTTTTTTTTTAGCAGGCAGTGTATAACAGATTGATAACATCAACACTTGATGTGCACTGTTAATGCCATGGAGACAAACATCAACATCTGTAATAATCATCGTATTTGTAGCCGTTTATTCTGACTGAACTGATGGGAAGTCAAGTCAGCTTATTTAATAGATTTATATTTTAAAGTGCACATTTCAGATGAGGAAGAAGAGATCGAGCAAAACGATTCACCACAATGAATGAAGGAGGAAAGGTCAAAGAGAAATACAGCTACAGTTAAATATGACGTCTTGCTGCCTTCTTTCTGTGTCTTTAATGTATAGAGCACACAACAGGGAAGTTAAATCAGAATGACAATGTATTAAATATTAAACAAATGGGAAAATAAGCTTTCACTTTTCAACAGTGTCCATTTAACTTTATATTCATTGCCCTATTTCTTCTTCAGTTTTTTTATTTAATTTCAGCCTATTCAGGAAAAGTTGCATGAAATGAAGAAGAAAATCAGGGGCTAACTGGCTTAGTGGCTAACTAAGTCAGCTTTTTCCCTCCCAAAAAACAAAAAAACCCAAACATCTTATTTTTGAGGATGAGTCATTTTGGGGCAAATGAGTCCCCGTGCCGAGTCATTTATGGATTTATGGATGGTGGATAACAATTTTTTAGACAGTTTCTGTCCTCTTGTACCGATATTTCCCCTTATAATAAACTTAAATACACAGGAGCTACATGCGTCCTGGTGTAAATTCTGACTGTTCTCTGTTTGCACTTAGGCAGCAAAACTCTCATATCTGACTGTAATGACACAGAACTGTAGCAGTACCTGGTATTTGAGACATGTGCATTCTAAAAAGAAGTTGTTTCTTTAATTGTTAATCATGTGTGATTTATTGCCAGTTGTAATTTGTTAGTGGGACTGACTATGCTGACCACAGAGTCGCTCTTCTGCTAGAGGACCTCTAAATATAGAGCATTACTGACATTAAAACTGTGTGTCTGGGGTCTGTTTTGCATTTCAAAAACCTTCCACTGCCATCATTTCCTCTGTGCTGAATAAACAAAGCTCCAGGCTGATGGGACACGATGGGGGCCATCGCATCGTTCTTCTGTGGAAGGCTTTCAGCAAAAGTCCAGAGCAAATTCTTTCTTTCGTTTTAGGAGGGATATTTTACATATTTACAGGAAAGAACAAACAAATGGTGTTTCATGTGACATATAGGATTCCGAAGCCGTTGATTAACATGATGCCACATGTCTCAGATATCAGCACAGAGAAGCAAGGATGCAAAGTTAGTAAGAGCAGATAGCAGAGGTCAAGGGTCAGATTCATTCCTCCACCTAGAACAAAGACTGGGATTTCTTTTCAGAAACAATAATGACGTGAATCATGAGTTATAATAACAGCTTTCAGAAGAGAACATTAGGAATTCAAATGAGAACAATCCAGTGGGTAGAATGGAATGACCCCTGACCAGCCAGGCTAAAAAGGGCTAAATGACAAATGAGCAGGGAACGGGGGGGCGGGGGGGGTCTAAGAGAAATGCAGACGCAAGCTGTGCTCACTTTCAAAGTCAAGGAAAAAGTTTGGCCCCTGTTCGAGCTCTGTGCAAGTGAGCACTTTTAACAGGTTCCCCATTTGGTTTCTGAAAGAGAGAAAAAGAAAGGGAAAGAGAAAGGAAGAAAAGCACACGTGATATTAAAAAAAAAGGAGCTGATAGAGCAGGAGGTCATAGAGGAAGCAGGAGGGGAAGAGAAGAGAGCGGCGCAAAAACAGACTCCTTCACGGCCTGAAGAGCGGAGAGGAAACAGCCGAGGAGGCTTCACCTCCACCTTTCTCCCTCCTCTCTCCCGTTTTTCGTTTCACTCGCCAGACAGACTTACTTTCAAAGTCCAGGAAAAAGTGTGGATAGTTCTCTATTTCCCTTGTTAGGACTTTTAGCAGGTTACCCATTCCAGCAAACCTGATGGTCAAAATACAGTGGTAAACAAACAAAAAACAATCCAGAAGTCCATTGACACAAAATATTGTCGCTGAATGTAATCATTAGCCTTTCTGAGTCTAAAAAGCCAAGTGTTTTAATTTATTTATTCATATATTTCTTATCCATTTTTATATTAATTAATTTGGCCCTTGCTTGGTTAAACATAAATAAACAACAACTCAAAGACTGAACAGAGCAGCACATGTTAAAAAATATGAAGAAAACACCTGGGAATTAGAGGCATCTGCTTTTTAATTCATGACTACATTCATTCTGGTTAGTCTTCCATTAGAAAAATAAAGCATCTTTGTTTGTGTAAAAATTGTGGAATTACTACTCCTTCTGATTTCATGGCTGTGTGCGAGCTTCAGTGCCACTGAACTAGTTTTTCTGCCCTTTTCTAAATTCAAGCATCTCTAAAGGCAGCCAAACACGGAGACGTAGCCTTAAATTACGGACACACACAATAAACCTTTTATTGGAGGCTAAAAGCAGAAGGCAGGTAGTAATTTCCAAGGCTCGCCGACCTCCTTCGGGGAATGAGAGGTGGCCATAAACCGTAATCACAGCAAGCCTCAAACTTGTATAATATGAGGCCATGATTGTGGTTAAAGGTTGAACGTCACAATGAATCATGGGGGAGCATGTTGCAGAATCGAAAATATTTAACCAAAATTCACCAAAACCAAGAGACAAAGAGGGGAAGAAATCTTTCATCACACACTTGGAGCTCCAGCTTCCCTCGATTTAAGTCAGAGCGAAGTGGCAACAAAAGAAACTCTGTGCTGCTGAGTGCACATGATAATCACACTGCGAGCCTCCAGCGCCCAGTTTTCCACCATGTACTCCTCCCTCTTCATGAACTCATGTCTAACAGACATTAGCCGACTGCTTGAGTTTCCTGCTTTCGCTATTTTGATCTCAAAGAGGTTCCATAGTAAACAAACAAAAAAAAGAGCATATCTTTCTTCCTTTAGGTGGGCACAATCCAGTCTCTTTTAAATGTGCTGATACACCAGGAGGAGGCAGCGTTTATTCATTTTCTCCCTCTTTTTTTTTTCCATCTGAAACAAAGAAAATTCAACTGGTATGTTGACATGTTGGTACGTGTGCTGTGGCAGCTTCACTTTCCTAACCTGCAGCTACAAGTTCCTCAAAAACTCTCACTTGCTGCAGGCTGTGGCAAAACTCTGCTTTGCCCGCCCTTCAGTAGCTGGCAACCACTGAACCTGAAGCAAAATACACACTTTACGAAGTGTGCGCTGACGATAGGATAGTTGAGATCAACTGAAAACTCAGACCTTTGAAAGAGGCTGGTGTTTCCAGATTCAGAATTATATTTTTAATTAATTCATGGACACTGCTGAATATTGGTTCCATGAAAAACTTTCATTAGAATTAGGGGTTGTGCATCTGCATATACAGTTTATCAAATTGGATACGAGTCAGACATTTATTCTGGAGGCTGGGGAACATTCAGAACTGAGGCAGAAAGACCACGGTGGCTGGATTGAATTTAGATGTGTCAAACTATTAGAAAAAAGGATCAGAGCAAATGTCATGGGTCAAAATATCTGTTAAATTTGAAAACAATTGAAAAAAAAATGTATATATATTCTTTATTTAAAGTGAGAAACAATAAATGACAAAATAGGCAAATAATCAAATGCCTTTTCCCTCCTCTGAACATTTCTGCTGACCTTTCCTTCTGTCCTACATGCCTAAATCATGCTTGAGAAGCAGACTGCCATGCAGCAGTGGGCAACTAATTTGAATAACATCATTCCTTAAATTTCACTGCGCAGAAACTCAATTTTGAAATAATCTTACCAGAAGTCTACCCAAGCCAAACGCGCCCTTCCTCTCTGAGGCAAGCATACCAGCTCAAACAGCTTTCTCTTCCATTTCGTGTTTCTAAAGCTCTTAACGTGGATATGAAACAAAAGGAGTTTACAGTAAATGGAGAAACGCAGACAAACGCTGTTTTTTTTTGCTTTGTATCTATGGGCGCATCATTTCCATGTCCACATCTGAGACTGCATCCACTTTTAATCCTTAGCACTGATTTGCCAGCCATACGTGCAACACGGTATCTGGCATTTAATTCACCAGCTGGTGGTGAACAGTCTGGAGAAGAAGAAAACTAAAAGATTCCCCCTTTTGGGCTAGCTCGTGGTTGTGAAAGAAGAACTGAGCAGAGCCAGAACCTGTTTTCCCTTCTCTGGTGTGAGCACCGAAGGCTGAAGAGAATAGCGTTCCTGTGGGGCTTGGCGGATATTCAGCCTGGATTTTGTCCTCGTCAGGTTGGTCTCTGGAATCTGTCAACACCTTTCGGGACGCAGGTTGTCCATCAAACAAAACTGTTGGCCTTTTCAGCATGCACTAATGCATCTCTCTCTCATTACTTTAACAATGGACAAAGACGACATTAAGACCACCATGTCTCTATTACCATAAAAATAGCTTATTTCTTTCTTTATTGCAAAGGCTGATGTAAACAAGAATTCATCTAAACTAATCCAATTAAAAACTGTTTTCTAACAAGCAAAGGTAAAAGACATGTGGAATTGTGCTGTAACAATAGTTTGAGTGAGTTCTGTGAACCACCATCAGCTTTACCAAACATGCTTTAACAAAAGTAAACTCATTAGCGTAAAACACTTTGGCAAGCTGGTCTTTTTTATAGTTTTGGAGCTTTCGTCTCATTAATTAATTGCTCCAAGAGGGGAGGAGAAGATGCCTATTCAAGATTTGAATCAGCTTATTTACCACTTGTGCAATTCCACAAATAATTTTTTCATATTCTTAATTAGCCAATAGCCATTAACGTGCACATTGCCATCTAGTGGTACAATGATAATACCGTAAAATTAAATCAACTTCCAAAGCCTCTGTGCTACATTTTTTACCAAGCTGCATGAAAGTGTGTTTTATATAACAACATTTAGAAATTTACTTGCCATTTTAAAGCTCGAATTTTACATGAAGCACTTTAAAAACTAGAATGTAGGCAGCAAAATACTATTGAATAGCTTTTAAGGGTTTCAACGCTTATTTTAGAATCTTTCTGGCACTTCTGTTTGCTTACATTTGCCTCACTTAACAGTAAGACATTTGAAGATTAAGCTGACCACACTACCTTTGTTGCTTCCTCATGAAATGTGAAGACTTCTAATAAACTTGAACGGTGTGTCACAGGCATCTTTGAGGGTGTCTAATATAGGATGCTTGGAAATCTTTTGTCAAAGCCTGTTACCTGCACTAATTCTCTTCAAATAGCCTCTAGGGTGAAAAAATTCTGGGCTTAATATTACAAGAGCAGACTAATCCTAGTTATGACCTAAACCACAGCACTGTTGATGGGCCTTATCAGTGGCTTAGAGTGCTCTCTAGCTCATACATGGCTGCACTAGCCTGCTTAAGACTTTATTATTTTGTATTTCAGTGAGTGTGTGTGTGTATGAGACACACCTTCTCTTTAGGAGGACCTCTGGCCTTTTTCTATATCATCCACTTTCTTGTCTTCTCTGAAAGAAAGAAAGAACAATTATCAAAACATTTTCAAAAGGTGAGTCAGCCTTGGTTTGCGCTTGCCATTTATTTTAGTTGGACAAATTTCCAACTACAGTACTATCCTCCTCTTAGCTAACCTCAATCCTTCAATAAACAAATACAACTCCAGGCAATGAAAAAACTATCAAATGAATTATGCTAATTTGTCTGTCATATCTAAGGAAGGCTGATGAAGCCTCTGTCTGCTGCCTCCGTCTGCTAATATCTTGAGGCACGCTGTGGCTGCTAATGGTCTGCAGTCCCCTGCAGGGTGAGAGCATAAAAATAAATAAAGAAATAAATAGATTGCCTCGTCATATTCTGTTGGGCTTGTGCAAATGCAGTATGACATTTACGATCCCGTTGAAGAAGCTAATTTATCATCAGTGAGCCTCATCATTTTGATTTAGTTATCATTGGGGTAAAAAAAGAAATAAAACCAAATCTCAAAAATAAATAAATAAATACATCCATCCATTCTGTGGCATTTCTTAATTATTTGGGCTTGATGTGAGCAATCTATTGGCATTCGGTTAAAACATTTTGTCTATTCAAAGACCTACAACGGAAGAATCCTGATGTTTTGAGTCAGACCAGGCCCTTCAGCAGAAAGAGCACCATCACACACTTGTCTAGAGAAAAATGCTTTGCTTTAGTGCATGATGAGCTCGACCAAAAGCAGCGATGATCTACATTACGGGGAGGAATTAACAGTGTCAATAAAGCTGCTTTGGAGAGGTAAAAACATTATAACGTTCACCGTTTCATGGCCTGAAATGTTTGTTTTTCTATCTTATGGCTATTTCATTTGACTAATTCTGCTCCTAACAGTTCTTTGGTAGCAGCAAATCTTTGAGTATAGGATCACAGGTTTGAGCAAACACTGAAATCAGCATTTTTATATGTATACACACACACACACACACACACAAACACACATTATCCCCTTAGTCCACAATTTATTAGTTACTAGATGAATTATTAATGTTCTCTCCGTTTCAAGGACATTACAGACACTGCAAAATGTCAAGTAAAAAATGGTTTTGAATTGAAAAAATCAATGTAAATTAATCTTCACAAGCTGCTGTATCATTATTAGTATTTCTATGCTTTGTACTCAGAATTGGTCAACAAAGCACAGCACACTTTGGGACTGCAAGCTTTTTCTTCCCTATCTGATCATAAAATGAGTATGGGAAAATGAGACACAACCAAACCATGAAAAGTTCATAGATCACCAATAAAGAACACTAGCAAGGAAAGCCTCTGACGGGATAATGCAACTGATGAATCTGAAAAGCAGCTTATAGAAGCTTTTGGTGTTCTTTTAAATGCATGTCATTCTGAGAAAAGTAGCTTAGGTAAACATACACAAAATACATCATATAAAAAAAGGTGGACACACTGTGAAAAGCAA